AATATTCTACTTTTTTCTTGACAAATTTCTGTACAGTAAATCACGTTCTTTTGCTTCAAAAATTCCCAAAACTAAATTAAAGAAAGATRTATATCCCAAATATCCCAATAGACCTTTCCCGAATCAGTCGCTTGATTGGTCACGAAACAATGGTTTCAAGTCAAGGTTGAACTTGATGAATAAAATAATCAAGTTCAGTCTCGACTTCAAACCATTGTTTCGTGGTCAGTCAAGCGAATTCGGGATAGGTCTATTGATTGAAAAATCAGTTAATCTCGTCTGAAAGACAGGAAATCGTTTGATGTGTAAGAGAAAGCAGCCAATTTGGAACCAAACTCTTAATTCCAAATATGGTATCAAAGTACATAATTTGCATATTCGAATAATCCGGAGCATGGTTACAATGTTACATGTTTCATCCCCCTTATGAGTTTCTGGACAGTATCAAATCACTATTCTCGATTGCACAGTCAATCACCAACCATATTTTAATCCAACCATATATATCATAATATGCAATAATTACTCCTTTATTAGAGGCTTTGCAGCATCACGTGATGGCAGCCATGACAGGAGGCACAACAATAGAGTCATTTTCCCCTGGGAAACTGAATTCTTTCTCATGTAAATCAGATTAGACCAGATTCAATTGTTCCTGCCTCCTGTCATGGCTGCCATCACGTGATGSTGCAAAGCCTCTATACACTTCAGTCGGTTGCAAGGTTCATTGAAATTGGCTTYCATTAGTTTTTCGTAAATGCGAAAAAAAATGACCATTAAATAAAAGTAAATAGTAGAGATCAGAACTCAGACAAGAAGCTTTTTAAAAAAYCATCCAAATAGGACTGCTTAAAAACTAATTTTGGAGTGAGGCTGTATCAAAGGTAAAGCACTTTTTAYGTTATATTCTTGCTGTTGGCATGGCTCTACATTTTATGCAGGAACTTCAGCTTAACTTCAACTTGTAAACTAGTGTTCTTGTATGCTTAATAAAGTAGAGTCGCCGAGAAATTGATTAACTCTCGGAATTCCCAAGATGTCAAATCCATAGAAATTTGGATTGAATTTTTAAGAATTAAGATTCACAGCAAAAGTGAGCAAAAGTGAATAAACCCACCAATATCAGCAAAATTGAAAACATTAAGTTGGCATTTTCATTGTGAAAGTTCGCTTTTGTCTTTGCATGGTATCATCTATACRTTTAACAAATTTAAGGGCTCTTTACTGCGAATGGAAATTCTAGAATAATAAATTCAACTATCGATTATTCAACTATCTTAGGTATTTCTTTTCGGCGTACATCAAACGTTATTCTCAAGAAGGGGTATCAAACGATGGGCGGCTCTCATATCCTCTTGACATTCTTAGCYATTATCGGTCATCCTAAAGAGTTGCAACATAAAGCTTTTTAAATTCATTTGCACCTAGTTCTCTTGAATTATTTATTGTCTGGTACAGAAYTTTTTCACGATATTTTAGCGTAACAGCCATCCGTATTGTCGTTACTATATTTTTAATGCAGAACTCAAATCAAAGGTTATAAAGGTTATAATAGCACCGATTAGCGGAAAAGCTGTTAATGCTGCAGGTATGCTGATACTTTTTCTTTTAGCTTAATACCGGCAGCCCGTGGAAGGCCAAAACAAATTGAATATARTCAAAGAAAACTTTGGTGTACGTCTTGTCCATTGTTGCATAAAGTTTGCAACGGCACAAATGTTTTTAAATACGATCGCACATCAATTAATGCATAATAGCATTTTTCGACAATTTAATTGGGGTTTTAGAAACCACCTCTTCTGTTCAGAAATGCAGTAGACAAGATAATTAAGTGCATGTTGACGTGAACATGGGAGTAAAAAATTGATTGGCACAGGACAGATTTTTCGTCAGTACTTGTCTTACAACTTGGAAAGATGTTACACACGGAATCGCCATACGTTGCAACTTGTCTTGCGTAGTTCTATCTTTTCTGCAAAAATATAATTTGAGCCAGCGTGTATAACACACTCAATATGCTCGTCTGCAATCTGAAACAACGT